CCCCCCTCTATTATCCTCCTCTCCATCTTTCCTAATCATATGCCATCCTGGTATTTTAATAATATCCTCCGCCCTCAGCCACGTCTCCGTTACTGCTAACAAGTCAAAATCCTCAAAAACCCTCCTGATCTCCTCTCTCTTATTCCTAATGCTTCTAGCGTTCCAGATTCCTCCCTTCATTTCCCCAATGTGTTTTTCTTATTTTCTCCTCCCCTCTACAAACCTTCCCTCTAACCGAGTGCAGATTCTCCATCCATCTTTCACTCTCCATCCAAACATCCTTCCTCTCTCCACGCTCCTCCTTTCTCCACATACTTTCATAATACTGATATTTCTCAATAACATCCACTATATAAACGTGTAAAAATAATATACAATTTATCACTAAAATTATCCACGCATACAGAGTCCATCTCGTCTCCTTGGATCTTACTCGATTATAGAAACCAAAAATACAAATGTAGCGTAACAAAAATAACACATATAAAACGTCTTCATCTTGATTAACTATTTTGCTACCCCTATCCTCAAACCCATAAACTGAAAAGTACTCACAATTGATCTTATCTATCTTATACCTAATGCCCTTACATTCTAATTTCACCTTTAGCCTATACATTTTTTTTTTTTTCATTTTTCATTTTTTCTTTCAACATTTTTTTTTTCCTATCTTATTGTTTTTTTTTTCCCCCTTCCCCCCTACTTTAATCCCTTTAGTCTTAAATTCTAATACTGTTCTTTTTCCTATCTCTCTTACGCTCTTATCAACACACTCCTGTTCCCTCGCCACTTCCCTACACTTTTTCCCCGTTTCTATACTAAGCCGCATGTTCGCTTAAATGATCCTTTCCACTGCTCTTCTCCTCCTCTTCTGTCCTCCTCCTCATTTCCTCCTTATTCTCTCGTGCAGTCTCCCCTGTTTCGTTTCCACCTCGCCTCTCAATTTTCCTTCCCTCCATTCGTTGCTCCTCTTCTTCCCCTCTCTCTCTTTCCTTCGTCTTGTCATCCTCCTTCTTTTCCTCTGTTTTCCTACAACTTTCCCTCACCTCCTTCCAATCAATCATTAAAAGGCTCTTCTCCCTTTCCTCCTCTTCTTTCCTCTTCCTTGTTTCCTCCCTCTCCCTCTCTATCTTCCTCTGTACCCGTTCCTTTGTTCTCTGATCAAAATTTAGTTCAAAGGGAGGCGTATACACCTCGTTCCAGTCTTCCTCTGGATCCGGATGGACCGTTCTCCTTGCCCTGTACTTTCCTGCTCTCATTATCTGTTCGAGCTTTCCTTCTAGATTCTTCTCCTTCAGCATCTTTATCACATCTTCTAGGATTTCTTCCTCCTTCCTTTTCTCCAGCTGCACAATCCATTCCCTGTTCGCCTGCTTCTCTCTCCTAATCCTTCTCCTCTCTCTCTCCATCTCATCTCTGTTTAACGCCATTTCCAACCTCTCGTACTCACAGTCTCCCTCTGGCTCTTCTCCCACCATGTATCTGGGGAGCGGTATCCTCTCCAATATCTCAATTACTCCTTCCTTCTTTTTCCTCTCCGTCTTCTCCTTACACTCGAGACAAATGAACCGATTTCCCATCACCACTCCCTCCACACTATCTTTATAGCACGCCGGCTTCAGTCCCCTTCGTACTTGTCTCCACTCACCTTCTCCACTTTCTTCCTTCCCTTTTTCTTCCCCTCCTACATTTGCCCTTCTGTCCTCTTCCCCTACCGCTCCTAGCTCCCTTTGTCCCCAATCCTCTTCCTTCTGCTCCTCTTCTTCTCCACTTCCCGTTCCTCTTTTCGCCACTTCACTAAAAGTCACCTTCTTCAATCCTTCTTGCCTCCCATCTTCTCTTCTCCCTCCTCTTCTCTCCTGTCTCAATGTCTTTATTAATTCTAATTCTCTCTGAATGGGGACTTCCATTTTCTCCCACGTCTCTCTTTTTCCTTTCGCCACTAACGCTGGAAATTCCCCATTGCTTCCTACGAATTTTTCAACGCCTCCCGTTCTACCCCAACTCTATATCTCCCGTTGATCTCGCTACAATTTCTTTTGCCGTTTCAAACTCGACATTTCTGTACGCCATCACCTTTCTGATGGCCGCTTCCCTCTGCCATACCCAGCATCTTCTTGCGAGAGATCCGTGCTCTCCACCGCAATTAATACATCTCGGCTTACGTTCGCAGTCTCCATGATAACACTCACCACACACCAAGCATTTTCTTCTCTCCTCCTTGCATTGTGCCTGATAATGTCCATATTTGAAACACTTAAAGCATTGTTTCACCTGTTCTATGTACGGCTCAATTCTAATCCCAATATGTCCTTGCCCTATAAGCAACCTCGTCGGCAACACTCCTCCTCTGAATGTGATCATTATTGTTCTCAACGGAACATATACTACTTTTCCATCTATCACCCTCCTTTTTTTCATTCTTTCCAAAACATACTCCCCTTGGTCCGGCATCGCCTCCTCTCTCAGTTCCTCAACGGAATCCTCCCACTCATGAATAATCCCTCTCCTGAACGCCATTCTGCGTGGAAGAAATGCCTTCACGTTTCCTTCACCTCTGCCGTACTTCTTCAATATCTTATTAGCTTCTCCTCTTCTTTTTGTCGACACTTCTGCTTTGCTGAAATTAATCATACGGATAGTATGTATTTTTACTCCCTCCCCCTGTATTAGTCTGTATATTTTAATAAGGTTGTTCCTTTTTGTCGGTCCTGTATACCCCCTTCCCCTGCCAGTTTGTTGCCCTTTGTTCCTTAAAATTACACATACAATATATTCCTCGCGATCCACGCTCTCATCATATAGGCTTACTTCCCAAACTCTACCTCCTCCGTTCCCCTCTCCCTGTTCTTTTTCCTCGATTTCCTTTGCTGTTTTTCCCGCCACGTGGCTAGGGCCCACGCCATTCTCTTTCTCCTTTGTTACCTCTCCCTCGATCGTCCCATTACTCTTACTCGTCACCCAGTCTTTTCTTAATACACTTACTCCCCTAACTTTATCATAATTCAAACTACTGCTACCTTTTGCGTCCTTGCACCTTTCTTTGTCCTTCGCTCTCTCTTTCAACACAACTTCTGTCTCTTCTTCTTCCGTCCAACACTCACCACGTACTTTTCCACAATGGCCGACCTCTTTAACGTCTCTATTCGCTTCGCCACGCCACCGTTTCCCCTTCTCGGGCGCCACCGTCACTCCCGTCTCCATTGTTGCCAACCTACTCTCCGTCGACTTCTCGTTCCCCTCTTGTCCGTTATTCTCATTGGCTGCCGTACTCGTGCCTACGCCAACTTCACTTCTCTGTATCTCTTTGGCCCTCTTCTTCTCCTTTCCCCTTAACTCCTCTTGCTGTTCTTCTTCCATGTCCCCATCTCTACTCCTCTTTCTACACTCCTCCGTCTCCATTCTCCTTTCTAGCCTTTCCTCTGTCTTCTTTTCCTTAATATCCTCCTCCCTTTTCTTCCTCGACGCACGTATTACCGCGTCTTCATCCTCTGCTAAATATTCCAGAGCCCAGTTCTCTCTCAGTTCCTCTATTTCCTCCTTTTCACCTCCTGTTCCTATTTCCTCCCTCTTCGCCCTACTTTCCTCCTTGTTTGTCTCTCCTCTATTTTCCTCCTCGCTTTCTCGTTCACTGCTGTTCATTCTTTCTCTCTCCATACATTTCTTTCTTCTCTCTCTGCTCCTCACCCTCCTCTCAACTCCTCCCCCCCTCACCTTCTCCAGCACTTCTGCTTTTCCCCCGGTTAATGGCCAACCAGGGGAAACCTTTGTTTTTATACAACAATTACTCGTCTATTCGTCCTCTTCTCCTCCTCCTTTATTTTTACAAATACTTATCCAGTTCCACACCTCCTATACACCTCAGCTTATCCCCGCAAACTCAAATAAACCGCAAAATAATATAAAAAACAACCCTCGCATCGACACTCGCACACCTCACTCAATCGCCGCCATCTTAGTCCGGTTAAAGATCTTGAAAATTGTTAGATGAAGTGACAGGTGAGGCTTTCTCTTTGCTTTTTAACCATGTCAGCCTTTTTAAAGGCGTATTTTTGTATACCCACACATGTATACTGTATATTCATATATATATTTCTTATTCTAAGGTTATTCGTGAATTGGCTGATTTTAATTTTAGATTGTGGATATGCTTTTCCTGACGTACGATCGAACTTGTTCTGAGGTGAATATGGACAGTGATAGATCTGTAATCTTAATTCTATTTATTCAAATGACTGGTTATGTGTTTAAAGATAACTTTGTGGACGCTGGCAGCATCGACTCTTTGGTGCTGGTTAATATGGAGCATTATTAGACTGCTAGAAGTGTGAGAAAAGACTTGAAGAGAGTTTTCTGTGTGAATTTTAATACTATAAGATACATATACGCAACTGAGATATGTTATGAAAGAATTGGACTTTACTCTTATTAGTGCTTGGATATGAAGGAGCTTAATCGGTATCCTCTCTTGTATTGAGTTTGGCATACACTTATTTAGAAAAAGGAATAAGTTATACTACTGTTGGCTACCGATTATTGTTTGTCTTTGGTTATTTAATTTATTCCCTTTTATAGGGAACTTGTTTATTTATTTTTCTCTTCTCTTTCCATACTTTTAATAAGGGTTTTCATTATAACACAGGGCAAACTATGATGTCATTAGAGCCTGCCTAGTTCCAGTATTATAGAGGTTTATATAATGTGAAAAAAGTATGCAGCTGATAATAGTGTGTGTGATGTGACGTGTTTTAACCCTGTGGATTATACCAGTGCCCATGATGATTACAGATTTTTATTTATGCAATTGAGCTGTGCAATAGGTAATATCCATATAAAGTGCTCGCTTGTTACGGTTCGCTAACTGTTGTAAGTGACACGTTGCCTACTGTTGTACTGATAGGGTGACGTTATTATGGATACTATTGGAAATTAGTGGCGGAGCAGAGTCTTGTTTGTTATTTTGTATGGGATGGTTCTGGCCGCTTGCTTGTTTGTGATACTCCCTATTTTGGAGTAATAGGAAATCTTGCTTTGATTGCTATAGGATGCTTGAATAACAAGGGACACGAACTGTTGTGCTAGTGTTTTTGATTATATATGGGACCAATAGTAGGGTGTTTATTAGGTGTCTTTGCGTGATGCCTAGATTTTTCTACCAATTTTTGTTGTGTGGTTTATTCATATGAGTTTTCTACAATAGCGCTACTAATACCACCTTCTTTTACTTGGTTTCATTGAAAGAGGTTACCTTAGTATAGGATTATACTATCGGTTCTCTTTGGGTATTATTTAGCACGACTGATCTTTTGGATATATATGAAGAATTGATTCTTCGCACTCAATAATTAGTACTTGATGGCCTTATAACAAGAATAATGGGCTTCGGCTCGTTATGCTGTATCCTTGTATCTTTACACTTACAACATTGGCTGATAATCAGTCATGAGGGCACAGGTACGTTACTTTACTCATTGCTAAATGACTTTACAAATTTACATGAAATATTTTAGTTCATTTTCTTTCGCCACATATAACAACTATTGTAGAAATGTAGGATGACAGCTGGCCCTATAATAGGGCGAGTTAGGAGAGACTAGGCTTATAGGAATATATATACTGTTTTGGACACTATTTGTAGGTACTTTATTTCCGGTGTAAATGGGCTTATATAAAGTATAATTAATTACAGTTATATAGTTTTTTGAGATATTTAGACCTCATATACACACTGATTTATTAAGCTCATAGAAGATAGGGTCTGGTTTGCGCTCCCTTTATATGGGAACCTGCGCTTCTTTAGGCAATTTTTATTGTTTGTATGGTTTCAGCTGAAGCGAAAGCCAAACCTAACTCCCCCTAGAGGGAGGGGCCTTCCGCGTTCCCACGGATGTGCGTACCCCTCTAGGGGGCAACCGCCATAGCCGGTCCCAAACCCGGTTGAGAAAGGTAGAGGGGCCTAGCCTGGCCTAACCTGTCCTCCCCACCGGCCATCCGCCTGGCCTAACCTGTCCCCCCCACCGGCCATCCAACGCCGGGTGCAGAAGAGATGCCGAGAGGCGATTGCTCTGCACCCGGGTCAAGGAACCCAAACTTGGCGATGGTTCGGACCAAATAATAATAATAATAAGGTTAGGTTAGGTGGACACCAAATGGCGAGTTCCAAGCTCGCAAGTCGGACCTCCACCTCCTCGGAAAAGAAAGAAATTGATGTTTACGGGCATAGACCTAGATTTACAAGAAGAAGATCTTAAAGAAACATTCAGTATACAGCATAAACTTTCCGATTTTAGAGTAATCTTTTATAGAAAATCCCTCAGAGGTAGCAAAAATGCGTGCGTGGAATTTCCAGTAGAAGTTGTAGATGATCTCCTCCAGAAAGGGAGGATTAGGATAGGCTGGACCTTGTGTAAGATCACCGAATATTCAGATAACAGACGATGCTACAAATGCGGATCTAAAACACACTTAGCTTGGGCCTGTAAATTGGAGAAGGGAGTTTGTTATTCCTGTGGGCGGGGGGGAACCACATCAGTAAGAACTGCACAGTACAAAGGGAAGAGAGAAATTATACCCCTATAGGTGACACCTTGTTAAAGAGGATGAGGACTCCTGTATCTGGGAAACCGTTAGTTATTAGTGATTTTCAGGAAATGGGAAGTAGGAGGGAAGATTGGATTGGTATAGAGGGAAGCTCTAGGACATTTATGACGAACATCTCCAAGGAGGAGAGGAGGACTGTTACTTTTAGTAATAAGGAAATAAGGAAGGAGGTTAGATCAATCTGTACACAAACGGAGGGTGACCTGTTGGGTAGGAATATAGATAAAACCTGGAGTGAGGTTGTAAAAGAGTGTGGCAAAGTGGTATATAGCCGCTATGATAAGAGTAGGGTAGGAAAGGAGGTAAATATTCGGAAGGGGAATAAGGAGGGAGATATGAAGCGTGGTACTGCAAAGGATGTAGGAGGAGGGTTGGCTGCTGGAGTGAGGGAGAGAGAGTCGAAGCAGAACATTAAGAGAAATAAGGGTAGAGCCGTTTTTATTAAATACACAGAGAGTGAGGGTATCAAGGACATTGGGAATTTTAAGAGGGAAGTAGGTACGCCAAAGAAATTTGTGGTCAAATCAATGAGGATGGCCAGAGGAGGTGGGATTGTGACGGAAATAGAGGAGGAGGAATGTATTGAAGAATGGATTGATTTTATAAGAGAGAAAATTGGCAATAAGGCAAAGATAATAAAGTTAGAACCAAAGGAGGGAATTAGAATTAGGAGGATGGACCCATCTCTAGAAGTTAATGAAATTAACACGTTCCGTGCCGGACCGTTTTTTCAAGACTTTCCGTTCAGGCCGCGTGGGGCGCATACGCCCCACGCTTTAGACTTGTGTTTTTTTGATTTGGCATATACTTTACTATGATTAAAATAATGCAAAAATCATAATCATCAAGGGAAGGATATACATTTTAAGATGCATAATACACAAAAGCAATAAATTTATTTTTCTAGGAATTAGTTTAACAAATACCTGGCTAAACATTACTCTACTAAGCGGCTTGCCTGGCCTGAACGGAAAGTTCAGCGTGGGGCGCATACTAAAAATCACTGCATTCTCTCTAACATCTTGTTCCAATAACTCCAATGCCTTCCAAACAGCCCACGCCTCCACCGTAAAAATGGAACACTCCTTCATCACTGCAAAACCATGCTCTTCCCATTCCTCATTGCCTCTCTTGATAACCACCGCTGCCCCTCCTAATTCTCTATTCTTCATCCTCGATCCATCCGTATAAACTTCTACTGATCTTTCTCCTTCTCTGATCCATTTTCTTTTGATTTCGTCTAGCACCGTGTTAATTGGGACATTTCCTCACTGCAGTGCTACTCCTTTCTCTACCTCTACCCAATTTTCTACTTTAACATTACACAATTCACTTCTCTCATACACATATCTCTTCTCAACTTTATCCCTTATCTCTATGGTGTTCCTCCATGCCAACGCCAAGATTTCATTATCCCCACTACTCTCCCCTATATCTCTATATCTAACCATTCCTTCTATTGCTTTACACACTTCCTTATCCATTCTGTAATACTTTTTCACCACATATCTTTCCGTTAACATTTCTATTCGCATATCCAATCTCATTATTCCTGCCTCAACCTCCATAACATTTATTGGAGTTGATATTCTGTAGCCTAACGCAGCCCTAATCCCAGCATTATGCAACTTTTGTATCCTATCCCTATTTTTTTTATAAGTCAGGTACAAATTTCCTCCATACTTTATCACAGACCTCATAAGCGCTTTAAAGATCTTTAGCATCACAGAGGGGCAAGCCCCTTTCCTTACACCTCAAATACATCTTAGCATATTCAGTCTTTTCTTCAGTCTTTCTATTACATACTCAGTGTGTTCCCTAAACAACATTTTCCTATCAAGAATTATTCCTAGAAATTTTGCGCATTCACACTCCTTCACCGACACTCCATTAATCATGATATCTTCCTTCCTGCAACTAACACCCCTCTTATTACCTATAAATGTAACTACTTGTGTCTTCTCTTCTGCAATTTTCAACCCTCGCTTTCCCAAATTACTACACAATCTCCTCACTGCTTCCTCCAATTTCTTCAAACCTTCCTTTCTATTTTCATATATCACATAAACTACTATGTCGTCTGCATATTGTAATATCTTTGCACCTAGTTCTCTAATCCCTTCCACTATTCCTGTGGTGTACAGATTATATAGTAAAGGACTTAATACAGATCCCTGAGGTAAGCCTCTTTTCAAAGTAAATACCCTACCTTCCGCCTCACTTTGCATTATTACTATCTCTCCTCTCTTGTAACCACTTATTAACATACACACGCATCCTTTCTGGACACCCCATGTCTCTTAATATTCTTACCATTACATCATGATTTACCGAATCATAGGCAGCCTTAACATCTATGAAAGCAGCCACCGTTTCCTTTCCTTTATCAAGTCCTTCCCTTATATTACACATAAGTATATTGATATTATCTATCGTAGCCCTCCTCTTCCTAAAACCATTCTGGTTCCTGTCCAGCTTTTCCTCCGACTCTGCCCATAACCTTACTCTCTCATTAACCATTCTCTTCATAACCTTTCCTAAACAATTTAATAATGAAATAGGTCTTAAAGCTTTTTTCTTTGGTTTCGGGATCAGTCTTACCCTTGTTTTTTTCCACATCGCCGGCACCTCCCCCTTAACCCAAACCTCGTTATATAATTTAATTAACCCTTCTTTCCATCCCTTCGTCAATTTTTTAATAACTGAGAAGTCTATACCGTCCTCTCCTGGTGCAGATTTATTCTTAAGCAATCTCAGTACTCTTTCCAATTCATCTATATCAAATTCACTATCATACCTGTCGCCATTCCTATCTCTATTTGCCCAATCTACTTCCCTCTCCACCCTTAAACTATCCTCTATCGTTCCCATCACTTCTTCATTTCCACTCACCCCACATAACCCAACAATCTTTTCCGCCTCTTCCCTTTCTAACCTAATTTTTTCTTCTTTACTCAAAACACTTTCATTTTTCTTCTCGTTCCCTTCATTATTGCTTTGACTCTTTTCCAAAGTGTACCTACACTTACCCTATTGTTAATTCCCTCTACAAATTTATCCCATGACTCTCTTTTCTTTTCTTTAATTACCCTATCCATTTCCTTCCTTGCCTCTAACATTCTATTCCAATTTTCTAAACATGGCTTCTTTAGCATATTATTCACAGCTTTCTTCCTCTCTCCCTTTAATCTTTCACACTCCCCATCCCACCACACATTTCTTTTACCCCTCTTGTACATAATTTCCCTTTGAATCCCTTTTTTCTCTAATCTGTTCTTTTTTCCCTTCCTCCCATCTACCATACACTCCACTATCCCTTCCTGCAGCATACTAGTTATTTGTATACATTTCTGTTCTACCCCAATGCCACTTCTCGCAACATCAGTTACCCACACTTCCTTCTCTAGCAACCATTTCAGAAATTTAGCTTGATCCAATTTCTCCATTTTAAATTTCCTGGTACCCTTTGCCTCTGGAACCCGATCAGGCACTTCTCCTATCCTCAATGACAGAACCTGGTGGTCAGACCCCATAGTTTCCCCTGATTCAGATACCACCATTTTCATTCCAATATCTCCCGGTGCTATAACCAGGTCAATATTTGAAGACCTTTGATTTACCCTGCCAATCCTGGACAGTCATTTTCATTCAAATATCTCCCGGTGCTATAAACAGGTCAATATTTGTAGACCTTTGACCTACCCTGCCGATCCTGGACAAGGTGTCAAAATTAATTACTGCTAGATTCATTTCCTCCAACACTTCCTCTAACATTTCACCTGCCACATCATTACACTCACAATTCCATGTTTTACTCTTGACGTTAAAGTCCCCTAAGAACATAATTCTATCATGGCTATTAACATTTCCAAATAACTTTCTCCATATTCCCTTATCTATTCTTCCTCCCGGCCTTCTATACACCACCACCATCTCTATTTCTCCAGCGACTGTATCCACGCCTAAAGACATACATTCCATTATGCTGTCTGTCATTCCCCGATCTTTCTTAAACCTAACCTTTAAATCGTCCCTGGCTAGCACCACAATTCCTCCACCTCCCCTATCCACCGAACAACCCAACGAACAATCCTTACGAAACGATTGCCATCCTTGGATTTTAAAAATATCTTCCGGGATTAACCAACTTTTCACCACTATTATTACATCAAAATCCTCACCTAACCTTCTAACTTCCTCTACTTTATTTCTTACGCTTCTCGCGTTCCATAACGCTACTCTCATGCCTCACAACATACACACTCACACAACATCCACACTTTGCTACTCACCACCCATATCACACACCTTAGAGTCTCTACACATTTTCCGTTTATAAATCTTCTTCTTCCTTCATCTTCTTTTCCCTTATTGTCTTCATCCAATTCTTTTTTCTCTGCCTCTCACTCTCCTCCTACATTTCCTTCAATCTTCTCTTCTCCTTCTCTTGTTCCTCATATACCCTCCTCTCTCTCACTGCTTCCCTGCTTATCTTTTCCACTTGCTTCACCTCGCACTGCCCATCACGAGGTTCTGTAATCTCCACCTTCCTGTCATCTTCCACGACAACCGGCATCTTCTTACTAAGCCTTGGTTTTTGTTTCAAATCCAAATGTTTTTTAATTTCAAAATAACATCCTTCGAAATTTTTCCTTTTTATCAGTTTTATGAGTTCCTCCATCAACTCATCCTCCTCCTTCTTACTCGATTTATCTGGTTTCCCCTCCAAGTACTTCCTATTTCCTCCTTCTGTCCTCCCACCTTTCTCCATTTTCTCCCTTCCTTCTCGCATTTCCTGCACATCCACCTCCTTTTCTCTCTCCACACTTCCTTCATCACATCTACCGCTTTCCTCCTTTTCCCCCTCACTCCAGATCAAAAACCTATTTCCACGCTCCCTGTCTCTTCTTTCTTCCTCTTGCTTTTTCCTTCCGTCTATTACTTTTGGCCGTACTTCACCTACTACCTTCGACCAACCTCCTTCACCTTCCTCAGTCCTCTTGTCCATATACCTCTCCTTTACTCCTCCCACAACACTACTATATAGCACCTTTTTCCTATCTAATCCAATTCCTTTTCTAATCCTCTCCATTTCTCCTCCTATTGGAACTTCTCTCTTTTCCCAGACATCTACCGTCTTTTTCTTCTGCAGCCCAGGGAATTCTCTACTTCCCTCATCTGCATTCCTCTCATCCTTCTTCCCTCTTACACTTTCTATACCTGCAGTCCTTTCAATCACCTCTTTTGCTGTCTCAAATTCAACATTTCTATATGCCATAACTTTCCTTATGGCATACTCTTTTTGGAACATCCAACATTCTCTGTCCTCATCCGCTGCATGATTTCCTTTACAATCGACACATTTGGCTACCTCTTCACATTTACCATGGAAATCTTTCCCACACTTTCCACATAAGCTCCTCTTCCCCTTACAAAACTTCATGGTATGTTCAAAACGCCAGCACCTAAAACATTGCTTTACTCATTCAACGTAAGGCCATATCCTTACCCCCACATGGCCCTGTCCAATTAGCAGAGATACTGGCAGTGTACCTCCCCTGAATGTTATCAGGAGTGGCTCCCCAATTACTCCTTTTCCATCTCTCCTTTCTTCTCTAGACCTCCTTCCCAATGGGGGAGTATCTCTCCAACAGATACTCCCCCTGACCTGGCGTTGCTTCCTCTTGCAATTCTTCCATCGTTCCCACCCAGTCTCTAATTACCCCCTTCCTGAACCTCTTCCTCATTGGTAAGAATGCCCCCACAATACCCTCACTTCTTTCATAGTCCTGTAACATTTTATTTGCATCCTCCCTCGTCCGAAATGTCACTTCCGCTTTACAAAAGCCAACCATCCTGATTGATTCTATCTTCAAACCAGATCCCTGCACAAATCTATATATTTTCATGAGATTTGCTCTCTTAAACTTGGCAATATGCCTACTCTTCAAAAACAATTCCACTATAAACTCAGTGTTATTATCATTTTCACCATACCTATGACAAAATCTTTCTCCATTTCTGCCTCCTTTTTCCTGTCCTTCCTTTCTTTCCTGCCCATTTTTTGATCCCCCTGTGCTTTCCTTTATACCTCTGAATTATATCTTTTTCTTTAATGTTCAACTGCCTTATCTCCCTAACCCTTAATTTGTTCTCAGTAACTACTTCCTTTCCTCCTTCATTTCCCTCCTCCACCTCCATTTTCTTTTCTTTCTTTTCCCCTTTTCCCTCTGATGCGTCACATCCCTGCGTTGGCCCTGGCATAATTCCTGCTTCCTCTACTTCCTCTGTACTTTCAAAACTTTCACTCTCCTCTGTTTTTTCTTCCTCTTCCTTTTTCTCTTTTTTCCTCAAATCTTCCTGTTCTTCATCTAGTTCTCTACCTCTCTTTCTCTCTACCCCATTCGACACTACCTTCCCTGTTTCTTCTTCCTCCCCTTTTGTCTCTTTTACTCCATTGTCTTCAATAATAACTCCTTTCCCTTTACCACTTTCCTTGCTTAACACCTCGTTTACTTCCAGTGACCTCAATACCTCCTCTTCATCTTCTTTCAAAAACTCCACATCCCAATTCTCTACTTTACCCACAAGGGACTTTCCTTTACTGACATCCTTTTCTATTTCTTTGACCATTCTACACTCTCCCCTGTCCATAACCTCCATACCATTTGCAACACTCTTTTCTCTTTGGTTTACTTTTTCGATATTTCAATTGCACATCTTTCCGCAAATACTTCCCCTGACCTCTTACAGAACTTACTGCACGCACTTTCTTCCTTTTCTTTGTAAAAGTCTATTAATCACCAGAACTTCAAAACTAGCCCCCCGCGCACCACGTGGGCATACGGGGGAAATATTCTAACCCACCTATACCACTTTAAAACTCGCTTTACCTTCCGCGCTTATTCTTCGTCAAATCCCACCTCCCTTCTTCATTTTCTACACCTCCAACTTAGCTAACTAAAGGAAATACAACTAAAAAAAACCAACAATATCTCTCGCTTGATAAAACCACTTCCTACTCCTACGCCGCCATTTTCTCTTTTTCCTGGACTATATCTGGTTTAAGGTTAAGGTTTTTTATTTTCTCCCAAAGAAGATGGCGACTTTTGCCAGACTATGGCTCATTGCGCCTACAATATTCTCTACTGCTTACAACATCTCAACAACGCCATCTCGCTCCCTTATCATAAAGCGCACGTTTCTATATTCGCCCTTAGGTTTCCCATCTCATACACTATTTCATACTCACACTCCCCACACACATTCATCCACATACCAGCATTGCACTTATTATAAATAAAGTTACCATCCAAACTATAAACTATAACCGTTATAATCGCTTCCAGTCTCTGTATACATATATCTATAAAAATAACTGTATTTATATCTCTGTTCATAAAAATAAAAATTATATCTCTTTTCTCACTCGAAAAATACTTTCTAATCACAGTTTTATTTTGCATTTCTTGATAAATGCTCCAATCAGTCTCAGCGGTTTGAAAGCACCCATCTCTTTGGTCTCGAAGAAATTACTATCTTTCCCTACCTTACATCTTTCCATTCTCTCCACAAACTTCACCCTTTCATTCTCGTATTTATCACATTCCCACAAAGCGTGGTCTATATCTTCTACTCTCTCACACGTCTCACAGTAGGGCTCGTTTATCATGAACTTCCTAAAGAGCGACCATCCCAAATTGTAATGATTCGCTCTAATTCTGTTTAGGCTGCAGATTGTATCCCTTCCCACCTGCCCTATTCCTTTGAACCATGGAGTGTCCTTGCCCACATTGTTCCATCTTGCCTCATAATATTTCCCCCCCTTATACTCCCCCTGTCTAAGCTGCCTCTCCGTAGATCTCTCCCATTCTCTATCCCTCATCCTTCTCTTATAATCCTTCAGGGTATATTTCACCCAGAAATCAGCGTCCCCGAACGTTGCCTCCTTTGCCACTCTATCCGCCCTCTCATTTCCCTCTATCCCCACATGAGCAGGGATCCACGCAATCGCCACTTTTCCTCCTATCACTCCCCCATTCTCCACCCTCCAATTCCTTTTCTTTATCCTATTTCTAATTTCATCTATCATGTCCCCTCGTCCTGCCCTCTGTTGTCGTTTGCCAGTTTTCTTATCACACTCAGGGAATCCGACATGATCAACATATTACATTCCCTATATCTACCATCCGCTATCTCCACCGCCCTGCCTACCGCTATCATCTCGATTGTGTATACCGAACATTCCGCAGGCGCGGTGAACATTTCCTCTTCCTACCTATCCCCTCCGTGCCTAATAACTATCGCTCCCCCTCCACTCTTTCTACCGTCTATTCTTGACCCATCCGTATAAATCTCTATTACTTCTTTCATGTTAAAGAATTTTTGTTTAAGTTCCCCTATCAAAACCCCCTCTCCTATAGGATTGTCAGAATATCCCACGCCCAATTCCATCTCCAGACACCTCTCCATCCTATACAGGGTGTCTCACAACTCGTGTAGGTCCCTGAAATGGGGGGTAGCTGACGTGATTCTAAGCAAGATTTCCCTTTGCAAAAAT